TATATGTTTACTATGTTGAGGGGTACCCCGAATAATGAGATTTTAAACCTTTATCAATGTACCATTTAAGATAGGGGATAATGAGACATAAAACATTAGAATGAGGAGAGGCCCAGGGGATGATGGGCCATGTGAACCACGTTAAGGAAATTAACTGTGGGGGATAAGGAGCCACAAAACGGTTTTCGCAGGGTGGTTACACAGCCAGTTTAATGTTTTAGACTAATAATTATGAATATGTGTTTCAGGAATCAGCCTAATTAGCATCCCATGAAAATATGTTAAAAATGAAAATAATCCATGTCCCACACAAACCTCTTGAATCAGAAACTCTGGGAGAGGGGCTTAAGAACCTGCTTTTGAAAATCCTCCGAGTGACTCTAAAGTAGCTTAATATTTGAGAACCACTATTTTACGGTAGTTATTCCATAGGTTAGACTCAAGGGTAGGCAGAAGGAGGAAAGAAAAGGTTGTTAGACAAATGGTTGAAAACTCTGTTAGAAGATAATACCAGTCACTAGTGGGATACAGAATAGAAGAGTGGAGGTGGTGATAAATAACTGAAAATTTAAGATCTAACTTATTTTTTACTTATTCACTACCATGAGCTATAAGAAAAATTTTCTCTTTTGATCCTAACCCTAGTTTAGAATACTGTTGATAACATATGCTATTCATTAACATCAAAAGAGGATTTGTCACTCTTTGACTCAGAATGGAAGATACCCAGTAGATTTGTTTGAGTTGCTCAACACTAGAAATCTATGAATATCAATCATTCTCATTTGTTAACTTTGTTTAACCCATTTCCTGTTTAGAAAAAAAAGTGCTGTTCGCTGCCAGCATTCATTTAATTATACATAAAGACTCTTTGAGGCTGAAGCAAATCCGCCTGGTTTTCAATGTGAAAATAAAATATAAAAACTGTCCTTGGAGTTGTTTCTAAACAGAATTTGTCTCTAATCCTAATGTAACAGAAATGTATATGATGATCAGTATTTAATATATTTTTTTTTTATATGGGAAATTTCAAAGCATGGAACAACATAAAACAGAACATCACATTCTGCACAAAAATGTTGTGTTTCTCTCCGGATCTTCTTGCCATCCTCATTGTGCGAGCAGCAAACTGCCGTGACCAGTTTGATTCTGTTTCCCTGATGTTGGTAGTACGCTCCTGGGAAATGTCTTCCAGACAGGCGAAGTGGTGTGACATCATCAGAGCACAGACTAACTCAAAGACATTGCTGCCCTGGCTTGTGATGCATTTCCAGCATTCTTTCAATCAACATCAGTCTGAATTTTACATGATTGATCATGTGCTCAGGACTGTTCTTGATCAGAATGTAGGAGTTCAGCACTGTAATGCTTAGAAGGTGGCGAAAGAATTTCTTATACCGAAACTTGTGCCTTTTGCTCTCAGTTGGATAAAAAGTGATCATATAATCAGCCGAGTCTACTGTTCCCATATTCTTGTGATAATCCACAATGACATATGGCTTCTTAGTTTTCTTTCCATTTCTGTTGTCTACTTCAATCACAGTATCATTGTGGAATATGACAACATTGTCACACCTTTTTGTCACGTCATTTCAGTATTATAAGTTCACTACAGAATCTGGCTACAGTTGTCCCCTTTGCAATCCTTTTTTTCAGATCATTTGGCCTCTGTTTTCTGTTCAAATGAGCTGTCCCAACTGCATCAGTCCTGTTTTGATGTAATTCTCTGAAAAGCATGGGAGATGTATGGCAAACTTTGAGGGTAAGGTTAGGATTGTAATCTGCCAGTTATCTTAGGGTAAATGCTGCCATCTCAAGAGCCGCCAGCAAATATTCTAGGGGCAAACAGAAAATAGGTTAAATGGTTAAAAACCACCACCACCACCACCACCACCACCACAACAACAAAAACAAAAACAAAAACAAAAATCAAAAAATACACACAATAATGTTATTATCTTACAGCAAAGAGATATCTTTTATAAACATGAAGACAATAAAAATCATCAAATCATTTAAGTCTCACTGTTTCCCCGAATACCACTAACAGCATAAGAAATGGTTCTAAAGTTCACCTAGTTGCCTGATTTAACATTTATTTTTAAGCTTACATCTACCTGTTTGTGGTTTCCTGTGTAGAGAAACTGTATGGGATCACAGCTGAGTGGCATTAAAGTGAATGTCAACAGTGGGAAAGAAATTTGATGAAGTCACTCATTTTATAAAGGTGAAACAGATTTTTTTCAGGAAATGCCCGAACTTTTTGGTACCTCATAAAAAGTATTTCCTGGGGGATGGGGTGCGGGTGGGGGGGAATATGTCATGAAATGTTTCTATGAAGCAACCTCTGTTTCAAAGAATTCAAGTCCCTTTCAGAGTATGCAGTCAACTTACCCCATTGTTCATAGAAAAAAGACAGATTGACTGTAATAGTGAATTTAGATGTTGGTTCTATTGTAATGCAAGACATATGTGTAAGAGAAGTCTTCAGAATAACCAAAACTCTCCAATTTTTGAAGAATCACCTTAAAGGTCAAGTGGAGAAGAACACAGGAGACAGGAGTTTTGTGTTTCTAATCATTTTACTACTAAGTAGTTGTATAAATCTGGAAAATGAAAACACTTACTTTCCATTACTCAGAAGCAATATTATCACCCTTCTTGGAAGGAATAGAGTTAAATATCACATCTAAATTTAAGGTTTATTTCATAACAATATAATTCATTATTCAGAATCTAGGTTATCAATTTGATATCTGCCATGGGAACATATATGCACAGATGAGACCTTGATACCACCAGCTAGAAGGATGACTGAATTCAGGTTCCCAGGTTCCACTGACCCATTGTCAGAACATATACTGCTGTTCTGGAGTTATACCCTATCACATCAGGGTTAATTATATTATGTAAATCTATCTATCTATCTATCTATCTATCTATCTATCTATCTATCTATCACCTATCATCTATCTATCTATCT